ATTAGAGAAATGCAAATCAAAACTACAATAAGGTATCACCTCACACCAGTTAGAATGGGCATCATCAGAAAATCTACAAACAACAAATGCTGGAGAGGGTGTGGAGAAAAGGAACCCTCTTGCACTGTTGGTGGGAATGTAAATTGATACAGCCACTATGGAGACCAGTATGGAGGTTCCTTTAAAAACTAAAAATAGAACTACCATAGGACCCAGCAATCCCACTACTGGGCGTATACCCTGAGAAAACCATAATTCAAAAAGACACATGCACCCCAGTGTTCACTGCAGCCCTATTAACAATAGCACTATTGTCATGGAAGCAACCTAAGTGTCCACCGACAGATGAATGGATAAAGAAGATGTGGCAATGGAATATTACTCAGCCATAAAAAGAAATGAAATTGAGTTATTTGTAGCAAGGTGGATAGACCTAGAGTCTGTCATACAGAGTGAAGTAAGTCAGAAAGAGAAAAACAAATACCATATGCTAACACATATATATGGAGTCTAAAAAAAAAAAAAAAGGTTATGAAGAACCTAGGGGCAGGACAGGAATAATGACGCAGATGTAGAGAATGGACTTGAGGACACAGGGAGGGGGAAGGGTAAGCTGGGACAAAGTGAGAGAGTGGCACGGACATATATACACTACCAAATGTAAAATAGATAGCTAGTGGGAAGCAGCCGCACAGCACAGGGAGATCAGCTCGGTGCTTTGTGACCACCTAGAGGGGTGGGATAGGGAGGGTGGGAGGGAGACACAACAGGGAGGAGATACGGGGATATATGTATACGTATAGCTGATTCATTTTGTTATATAGCAGACACACACCACTGTAAAGCAATTATACTCCAATAAAAATGTTAAAAAAAAAAGCCCTGCTGGTCCAGGGACTTCCCTGGTGGCGCAGTGGTTAAGGATCCGCCTGCCAATGCAGGGGACACAGGTTCGAGCCCTGGTCCGGGAAGATCCCACATGCCACAGAGCAACTAAGCCCGTGTGCCACAACTACTGAGCCCACATGCCACAGCTACTGAAGCCCACGCACCTAGAGCCCGTGCTCCATAACAAGAGAAGCCACCGCAATGAGAAGCTGGCGCACCACAACAAAGAGTAGCCCCCTCTCACCACAAGTGGAGAAAGCCCCGCACAGCAATGAAGACCCAACGCAGCCAAAAATAAATTAAATAAATAAATTTGTTCAAAAAAAAAACCCTGCTGGTCCAACATCTGAGATGGGTGTCGAAGGGCAGTAAGGTCCTATATGGGCAGGTCAGCTCTGAGGAAGAAAACATAAATCCATCGGAGACTAAACAAACAGTGGGAAGAAATCACCACTAGGGTAGGTATGTCAGTCTTCAGTATCTGCTGGTTCCACATCTGAGGAGCCACCCAACTGAGGATTGAAAACATTTGGGAAAAAAAGCTTCCAGAAAGTTCCAAAAATCAAAACTTGAATTTCCCACATGCCTGGCAACTATTTAAATAGCATTTACATTGTATTTACAACTCTTTATATCGTATCAGGTATTATAAGTGATCTAGGGATGATTTAAGGTATACTGGAGGATGTGCATAGGTAATATACAAATACTCCACCATTTTGTATCAGGGACTTGAGCATCCACAGATTTTGGTACTGGGGGCCGGGGGCAGGTCCTGGAACCAATCCTCCTGCAGATACAGGGAGCCTGAATGCGAACGGAATGCTGTGAGTTTGAACATACACTGCTGGTGTAGAATTTGTTTTAACTTAACCTATTTTCCAGCAGACTTTTTTTTCATGATGCCTCCCCCCTCACCCGCAACGGACCGCACACAGCTTGTGGGATCTTAGTTCCCTGACCCCAGGCCCTTGGCGGCAAAAGCACAGTCCTAACCACTGGACCGCCAGGGAATTCCCTCACAATGCTTTTTTTTTTTTTTCCCCCAGTGGCTCAACTGGTAGCAAGTGCTTTTCTATATATTGAGCCTCTTTTTTTTTTGGTGCTCAAGCAAAGCACTGTGATTTCTCTGACTTTGAGCAACCCCAGATGGCCCAACTTGAATAGAAAAGAGGTTGAAAGAAAGTTTAATCTTATAAGCTCTTCTCTAAACAATGTGAAAAAAACTGGTTAGGTGCCTGGCTTGTGGTATTTTACTTCTTATGAGGTCATACAGCACAGTGACAACAAAGCAGAACCTGAAATTGGGGAGATCTGGTCCCATTTTTGCCATTGGTGTAACTAACTACACAAGAGTTTACTTCGCTACTGCGGGCTTGTTTGCACATTAACACTTCCCAACTCTGCTTTCCAAAAGTGGAAAGGACGCACCAGGCCCTTCGCAATGGGAGGAGACAGTAAAAAATCCATCCGCCACAGGGAAAAACCGCAAGACCCCAAGGCAAATCTACAGGGAATCCAGAGGCCCTTACAGTGCTCCCCACCTTTCAGCCTGAATGTGAACCCTCTCTGTACACACTGTCCGAAGACCCCGTGAGCTTTTCCTTTCAAAGCCTCACTCCCTTGTTACTTCAGCTTCACAGGGACATCTTTGCATGCGGACTAGAAATCGGTCCGAACTGAGCTCCGCCCCGTCCAATACAGCAGCCAGGACCCGTGGGACCTGCTGACCACTTGAAATGCGGCCAATGGGTACTGAGAGGCGCTGCCCCAGTAAAATACACGCGGAATTTGAAGACTTAGTAGGTGAAAATAATGTGAAGTGAGGTAAGTCAGAGAAAGACTGATGCTGTATGCCATCACATACACATGGGCTTTACCAGAGCAAAACTGATACAAACAGGGAAGAGAATGGTAGTTATCAGGGGTTGGGGGAGGGCGAACAGGAGCGAAGGTTTAAGGATCCAAATTCTCAACCAGTAGATAAATAAATCCTGGAGATGAGTGCACAGTACCGGGATGACACAGACAACAATACCGTATTATAAACATCAAACCTGCCAGGAGACCAGGTCTTAGTTATTCCCAGACACACACACACACATACACACACGCAAGGAATGTAAAATATGTAAGTCTTATACCCATCACCCGTTGGTAATATTCTGGACGTACTGGAGCACGCAGACTACACGATTACATTAATTTCACCTGCTTCTCTCTGCACGCGCTCACGGGGCTCCTAGAAACATGCCCTGCCACAGTGGCTCGTGTTACACCGGCCGGAGCCGCTCTGATCACCCATCTGAGCCGAAGCAAGGAATGAGGTTAAGGCTCCACAGGCCTCGGCACCGCTGGGTCCGCACGGATGCACTCACGGCTCTGCGCCCGCGTCCCTCGCCCGCTGGCCTCCAGCCCCGCCTGCGGCCCACGTGGCTGCACTGCGCTCGGTCGTCCGGTCCCGCGGAAGGGAGGCCCGCTGCGCCCCGCGGTCCGGTCGGTCCGGACGGGGGAGCCCCGGGCGGAAGCTGCCGGGCGCTTCCTGCGGGGGAGAGGGAGGAGGAAGGAGAGGGGGAGGAGGGAGGTCGGGGGACCAGGATGGGAGCGCGCTCGTTCGCGGCGCGGGCATCTCTGCTGCGGGGCCGGGGCCGCGCTCGGCCTCCCGCTTTAGTCTCTGCGGCCTGAACTGAAAACGTAACCCTTCCCTTGCCCCGAGAGACACTGCTGAGTCCCTGGGCGCCACCGTGAACGCTCCAGATTCACTGTTTTCTAGACTGGTGCTCACCCGTGGAAAACTACTCTCTTTACTCCCAAATACCTTGTTCCTTCAGCACTTGCAGAGCAAAAGCTGCATAGGTTTCTGTTTGTCACTAAGTGAAAATCATTCTTAAAAACTACAAAGATTTACCTACAGTGTATAAATTTAGTTGCAGGAAACAAATTATCTAACTTAACCCTAAGAAATGTTCCAAAAGTAAATGCAATGCAATAACACACTTCAGTGATGATTTCTGAGTAAGTGTCCATGACCTAAAACTTCTGCTCATCCAGCTTGTGACAAGAGTGAATGATTTGTTTCAATAGACCTTTTTCCTGGTCTCACAGTGCTGCGGTGCAAACAGGCTTCTATCTTGACCAAATAACTGTAACCCCCACTGACACACACAGCCAAATCTGAGTTCCTTTAGGCTTGTAACTAACGCTGACCTACACGACTAAAGCTGTGCTTACCCTGTAGGAAAAGGAAAGAAAACTGGACGGAATGGAGAAGGGTTAAAAGCGCATGACTCCAGGAAGATACACAACCCGTAATACAATCCACGAAAGTCCACGCTGCACTGGGTTCTCTCTGCAGTATTAGAATGACCAAGCGTCTGCCCTCCAGTTAGTTTTAACGGCAAACCACCATTTTCTAAATGACCCAGGGAGGTTTGATCGAGTAGGAGAGTGAATGGAAGAGAAACCGTTGGTTCGGTTCTAAAATGTGCTTTAAATCATACTGCAATAAATAATAACTGAAAGGATTTAGGCATCAAAGTTAAAAAATTACCTTTAGTTTCACCCTCAAGATTAAAGGAGAAGTGGGAATCTGCTGGGCATGCAGTCATGTGATTTGCTCTAATTTCTAGATTTCCGGGAGACTCGGATCCAGCTGAGGCAGGCTCTCCGGCTCTCAGGTCTGAGGTCTTCGCCCTGTTCCCCACGGTGGGAATCCAGCCCACGTTCCCAGCCGGACAGGCCGTCATGGGCATTCCTAGTACACCCACGGGGAACCCCACCCGGCGATCTCACTCAAAGAAACAATGCAACAGAAAAAGTGCAACACTCACAACCGTAAGGACCAGTATGTAAGAGGGAAGAGCCAGCCTGACTCCATGCTGGATCTGTGTCTTTCACTTTAACCTTCCTGTTCTGCCACTTTTGCTACAATTTAAGAATGTTGCCTAGAGCCTGAAATATACAGAAGGCTCTGACCTTGAAGGGTGTAACACTTTTCCATTCATATACAGAGGAAAAGCTGCAGAAGAGAGTAACATTTATCTTGCTGGAGGTTCACAGAACATGGTGACCTGACCTAAGGGGACAGCTGCAAGAACAAAGGATTCTGACCCCAAGAAGTCTGCAACAACCAACCACGGCCCCGCCCCTTTTAGTATAAAAGCCTGAATTCTACCAACCACATCCCCGCCCCTTTTAGTTTAAAAGCCTGAATTCTAACTCCTTTGGGACACCAGTCTACCATCTTCTCGGTCTGCTGGCTTTCTGAATAAGGTCACTATTCCTTGCCCCCAAAACTTGACTTACTGGCCTGCCCTGCTGGCCAGGGGGACAAGCTTGGACTCCGTAACAACTACAACAAATCACCTGCAAGACCCCTCACGAAGGGCTCTCTCTGAAAGCTGAGAACTGCAGTCCCCACAAGCATATGGCGCAGTGCAAGTGCCACTGGCACTACCACTGGAAAATATTCTTGAGAAGAGGACATGTTTTAAGCTGCTAAAAACTGAAGTGAGCTGTTGCTTCTTTCAGGGATGAGCTAACAATCAGCAAAGGAAAAAAAGAGGTAAGGCCGCCCCCAAGGGTGGAAAAGTCTGCAGAAAAGCAGAAGGGGTGTGAATGGAGAAAGTGACTTGGCCCGGTCAGCAGACGGGGAGCACCTCTTTCTAAAAACTGAACCAGAAATCACCCTCTGGAAATTATGTTCCTTGGAAACCCTTTCTTAGGACGGGGAGAGCTATTTTTACAGGACTCGTTAGTTACTAGTTAGGGCTGGCCCTGGCTCTCTCAGGAGACATAAACGTATCCGAATGGAAATGTCGTGCTTGCTGCCACACACCAGGCTACTAAGACAGAAGAGAAAGCATTTCGAATTGTTATCATTGTAAATGAGCCCCAGTTCGAAGTTCCAAGTTCCAGTGCTTTGAAAAAAATCCCACTGTTACTCTGACACAGTGCAGAATCAGTGTAACCGTTTATTCCAATGCAGTACAGCTCCACCCAAACGAAAGCATGATGTGCAAGTGTTTATTTTAATTACTCCTATCTGAAGGCTCTTACTTCTGGAGAACAGCAAGGCATTTTGTTATCCACTCTTTCCATTCTTTAAAGGCTTCCACAGGTTTTGGCAAACTCAGAGGATCCGCACGACTATGCTCTGGAGTAGCTGTAGGTGTGTCAATGGACTCAGCACCAACCCACCTCACCAGCGCCTTGAAAACAGATTCATCTTTTAACAAATCCCAGCAAAACAGACTTAGGCAAGAGAAAAACATTAGCTTCCAAATCAAGTTATCTACATCGGTGACTTATGCTACCCCACGGAGATGTTCCATTTGATAAAGATGGTCACGAAAGTGAGACCATGCTTGTCAAAGGGCATGCACCAGAAACACGCCAGCTGCGAGCACACAGGACAGTCATGAGGATGCACAGAAGAGAAGAATTACACTGAGTCCTCACAGTTTTTTGAAGGTGGGAGGATAATTATTTTCTTTTCTCAACTTGCTAAGTGTTCCACAAGGCATTATTATACCGTGGTTGCAATCTGACGGGGATACGTATACACCTGTTAAGTGTACACACAGGCATGCCAGATATACATATGTGAAGACACACGTGTAGACAGGGATTGCAGTCGCTATGTTTGCAGACACACATTCACTTGCACATCGAGATTAGATACTTTCCCTCCTTCTTAAAATCATGCCTTCCTCCTAATGAATATCATACCCTTGTCCCATATGTGGAAAGATAAATCGCTTCCACATATTCATAGTTTTGGGGGGTTTTTAATGTAAATTTATTATTATTTATTTATTTATTTATCTTTGGCTGTGTTGGGTCTTCATTGCTGTGCGCAGGCTTTCTCTAGTTGCTGCGAGCGGGGGCTACTCTTCATTGTGGTGCATGGGCTTCTCATCGCGGTGGCTTCCCTTGTTGCGGAGCATGGGCTCTAGGTGCGCGGGCTTCAGTAGTTGTGGCACGTGGGCTCAGCAGTTGTGGCTCGCGGGCTCTAGAGCACAGGCTCAGTAGTTGTGGCACACGGGCTTAGTTGCTCCGCGGCATGTGGGATCTTCCCGGGCCAGGGCTGGAACCCATGTCCCCTGCACCGGCAGGCGGATTCTTAACCACTGCACTACCAGGCAAGTCCCTTCATAGTTTTTAAACATGAACTTTCCCTCACTTATCAATATTTATTCTGCTCTGCAAAGTCAAGCTCTCTGGCCCTAAATGAACGGGAGACACAGAAACCTCTTCCACCATTTCTCATTGAATTCTAAGTGTGAGGCAAGTCAAAGTTTTTAAGGAAGATATTTCTTTGCACTTTTTTTAAACCCACAGCTTCCTGCTTACCTTTGCACTAATTTCCTCTGAAATCACCTCCAGAGAAGGGCCTAATAGAAAATGGTAGTTTGCTACTTAAATAACCACTTCCCCCTTTATGGCTTCCCCCACTTACTTTGTATCTGTCTTTAAGGTGGAAGCCGACAGCACTCTGCAACTTGCGTAAACAGATGGGGCAAAGGTCGAGGGGACGCTGGTCAGCTTCTTCCAAGTGGTTGGAGCCTTGCATCAGGCATGCGAGCCACTGGCAGTGCCGAAGTCCAAAGATATGTCCAATCTCATGGGTTAAAGTCTGCAAGACATTCACATGGAGGCTTACAGCGCCACGGTCATCAGCAACAAGGTACACCCCCTTCTTTGCATGCTCTTCCAAGAAACCAATTCACAGGAATGAGCTCCCTTACCATCACCACCAAAACCTTAATCTGCCCCAAGACTTAGTCCCTCATTTCCCTGAATGTCTTACTGCCTTCCTCTCTGGGCTTCAGTACTCCCCCGCCCAGGGTTTCTCCACCCCGACACCACTCACATGTTGGACAGGATCATTCCTTGACGGGGTCGGGGTGGGGTGTCTTGTGCGCTGTAGGGTGTTGAGCAGCCCTGGCCTCCACCCACTAGATGCCAGTAGCATCTCCTCCCCCGCTGTGACAACCAGAAATGTCTCCAGACACGGCCAAATATTCCCTGGGTGGCAAAATCACCCCTGGTTGAGACCACTGCTCTGCACCAGTGGGATGCTGGCTAGCATGCAGATTCCGAGGCCCTTCCCCCAGAGATGCCGAGCTGGTGGGCAGCAGGGGAGCAGCTTGACCTGCATGTTAACAAGCAGATCAATGCAGGGCACGTAGAGCTGACCCTTGAACAAGGGGGGGTGGGGCACCGACCCCCGTGCAGTCAAGAACCTGCTCTGGCTTTACAGTCAGCCCTCTGCATCCGCAGTTCCGCGGGCCCTTGCGGTAGGGCAGTACCTATGGCACCAGTGAGGAACACTGCACATAAGTGGACCCATGCAGTTTAAAGCCATGTCGCTTAAGGGTCGGCTGTACTCTGAACCCGTCATTCCATCAGGTGTCATTCTCTACCCCCGACACACAGCAGTGGTGAAAGCAGAAAAGCCTGTCTGGCTATGAAGAAAGGGGGAGACGAGGAGACAGGCTTCCCACAGAGCAGGGCAGGGGGAGACACGAGGAACCAGCAGCAGAACCAGCAGCTGCAGCAGGCAGCCCGGAGCCCAAGGGGAAGGCCCGTTCCCTGCCAGGAGCTAGAGCACAGGAGTCCCGCAGGCCCCCGGGAGTTAGCCCGACTTGATGAGCACGGTGTCCCTACCTGCCCAGAATTCTGGAATTAAGCTAATGGTCAGGAGACGGGTACAGCCAAGGCCGCGTGTCACTAACAGGACAAAAAACCGTCACAGATACTGTACATTTCAGTACGAAGGTACCATTTACATTCCGGTTTTACTGATAACTTCAGTCAAGCAGTATCCACCAAAAGTATACAAATGAGACAAAGTTATTTATAAAACTACCTTAAGGACTGTGGATATATAAATGCAAGGGATCAAGATCTCTTAAAGAAACACTCCTGGTAGATTGTCTGAACAGCTCACCTTACAGGACCGAAGCAGCAAAACACTAGTCACTTCAGGAACGTAATAATTATCAAAAACCGAGTAGTCACTTGAAGACTTCTTCTGCAGCTTCTTCAGTTTGCCTTCGTAGTGGGAGCTGTAAAAATCACTGCCGTACCTGGCAAAGCTGAATATCCCCACACCTAGGAAAAGAAGACAAGCAATGACGGAATAAGAGGAAGATTCCTGAAGACTGAAAAAGAGCCCGCCTGGGCACCTGGCTGGGGAGTGCCCGTCTGTCCTAGTGAGTGCCCGCAGCCCCAGTAAGCTTGGCTAAGGTTCACCCGGACAAAGGAGACTTCTGCCCCAGATTTCCCGATCAGAATCTTCTGCTAACCAACCTGCTCTGCTCTGTAAAACTTAATGATCTTGACGTCAAATTCTTGAGAAATTTTAAGTTCCACGAAGTTTTTTTCCCCACAAAAGAAGTCATTTTGGGGGGAATTCCCTGGCGGTACAGTGGTTAGGACTCTGTGCTTTCACTGCCGTGGGCCCGGGTTCAATTCCTAGTTGGGGAACTAACATCCCACAAGCCAAGTGGCAAAATAAGAATAAAAAAAGAAGTCATTTTCTTAAATAGCCCAAATAAAGTACTCCAAAAGGAGCGACAGAGTGAATGAACCGCAGGCTCATGACCTCACTCTGGAAGATCACAGTAAACAGGTCTCGGTGCCGTGCATGTCACTGAGGGTCCCGTCCTGCCCTCGTGCCCTGCTATACAGGAAGACATCCGGCCACTGCCCCACTGCCTTGGTGACCATGTTTGGACCCTGCCTTCAGAGAGAAGAACCTCTCCTGTCCTCCCCGCTGTAAACTCAGCACAACTCTCTCTGCAGCTGTGCCGGTGACCAGAACAAACCCCTGTAACTGACTTCCTGTGACATCTAGGCTAGTTTCAACCATCTCTGCACAGAGGACAGACTGACGCACCACTCGTTCTAAAGGGGACCGACTGCTTTATGATTCCACTTGTTTACACTGTTGCTTTCACGTATGCCTCCTTCAGTTGCTCTTCGAAAGTAGTAAGGAACATTTGTGTTAAGGAAGTGAATTCGTAGTAAGTTTGTCCAACCTAATTTGATTCAAAAAGAATGCACCTCACTCCACCTTGGTATTTGAGATTTAGGGGAAGAGGGCATTCTGGAAGTTAAGAAAAAACTAAACCTACTCACATCACAAGTGACCTCCTCTGACCAAACAAGTGTGGGTATATTTCACTATAATACCTTCAGCAAGAACATTTTTTTCTTCTAATAATCCTACCAACAGATTATTTCCTTTGGTAATTAAATATTTCTCAATTTTAAAATACCAATCTTTATAAACTTGGAGAGAATGAAGTCACTTGTAGTAGGATACCGTCTCACTGCACAGCAGATCAACCCTGCTCTCCTACTACATCTTCTCTTACATCACACAATTTGATTTAAGAAACTTACTGAGAAAAAAAAAAGAAATAGAAACATTTGGGGGGAGTGCTTCCTGACCTCCTCAAATGCATAAGATAGATTAGTTAACAATATCTAGATAAATACATTGTTTAAATTTTTTTAATGGTTCTATCTCTATCAGGTTAATAATAAAAGGGAAAATAAAGACTTAGCTCATACAAATTCATTTCTGATAGAAAGCTCGTACAAAAGCTCAGGGGGACAGCAGTGACGCAGGTCTCTGAGAGAGTGGGTTAGTTAGTAAGGTCATGGGGGCAGGGGGAGCTGGCGCTGCAAGAATGTAAATGGAGAGTGAGGATGAAGGGCTGGGAGGGAAGAAGAGGCTCCACAGCACCCTAGGCCCCCACCTCTAATGAACTGGGAGGAGAGGTGTGTCTCTAATAGGAAGAAACGTTTGTTAGCGAGA